TTTTTTTTTTTTTTTTTTTTTTTGCTATAAAAAGTGGGGGGGTGGCAGGTATGATTGTTCACAACCCCTGAACAAAATCTCCCTCAGCCAGGGACAAGACCTAAAAAGGATCACAGTCAGCTCCAGGTAAATTCTCCTCCCTAGACACAGGGGTAACTGAAAACAGCTTGTGTTTAAGGAGAGTTTTGTTTTTGCTGTTGCTTTGGGTTTATTTTTCCCCATCATTGCATAAAGAAGGCACTACTGGAAACTGGCCCTGCTTGGCACATATGTGCCCCTTTGCAATCCACTTTTTCTTCCTCCCTGCCACCAGATTTCAAGAAAGAAGGAAGGAAGAGTATCTCACAGCAGCAAATTTGAGAGTAGAGAAGTATTTTGCTTTCTCTTTCCCCAATTTTGCTTCTCATTTCCCCATCAGGGCAGAGCCCTTCCTGGGGAGTTTAGTTCTCAGGTTGACTTCAGCCCTCAGCTGTGGGCCACAACACACAGTCTGGAAGCCTGTGAGGAGATCAATGGATCAGAGCTCACCCTCCGAGGCCCCTGGCCCGAGTTGGGAGATGGAAGGTAGTAGCTTCATCAACAGGTGGGTCGTTCTCCCTCTGTAGTTTTGCCCTCTGACAACATCGATGATTTCATGTCTTGATTAAGAGGCTGCAGCTTCAATCAGTCCACACTCCTGGACATGAAGGAGTTCTGCACTGTAGTTAGAGAGAAGAGAGAAGAGAAAGGTAGGAGAAAGAGAGAGAGAGAGAGAGAGAGAGAGAGAGAGAGAGAGAGAGAGTCAAAGAGTGACAAAGATAGAGACACAGGGAGATACAGAGAGAGAACACCTGGAGCTTTTAAAACTGAATAAGTTACCCACTGGCAAGGCCAGATTGGTAAAGTGCAGTCATAATGTTCTTGTGTGCAACATTGTCAGCTGTCAGGAGACCCTGGTCACAGCTGTGAGGCACTCCTGGTGGCCTCTGTGACTGGTTCTGTTGTTATCTCAGGAACTCTGCATGTTCTCAGTCCCTCTGCCTCTCCCTGCTTTCACTAAGTCACCTCAGGGAAGAAATTCAAATAGCAGAGTCTCAGGGTCAGCAGCTGGCTCCCCTCTGTCCTGGTCTCCTACCTGTCTGGCAGAACTTGTCACCTAGGAAGCTGTCCCAGGCTCACTCCTGGTCTGAGCTCTCACTGTCAGATTTTGATCCAGGGGAAAAAAAGGCAAGAAAGGCCCTGGCTAGCAGCGGCCATGTCAAGCTGCACGTTTTTCTTTCCACCTCAGCGCCCTGTCCTAGGAGGTGACTCCTCTGACAAGGACATGGCCGACCTCTGTCTGCTCCACAGTGGTGAGCAGATGTGCTCCTCAGAGACAGGGCCAGTCAGGGTGTTTGCTCCTGCACAGGAAGTGACACATTTCCAGTACTGCCGTTGAACCTAGGGCCTCGACTGTGCTTGAATACATATATGTGTGTTTTCAGCCCTGGTATCCAGAAGATCTGACAGATTTTCCCGGGGACTAAGAATTTGGGGAGATTGACCCACCTTGACGTGACAACAGGGGACAACTGATCCCCTAGTGTCCTATTGTCCAGTCTGGGCAGGGTCTTGGCACTGGTTTGAAGAGCAAAGCAGCTCCTTCTGTGTGGCAGGCTTTGCCACATTCAATGGAACCTTCCAGGGGCAAGTGCTTTCCCTTTCCTTGATGAGATAGAGGATGCTGCTAGGAGCTGGGATGTCTCTATCATGAGAAGCTATTTTATTAAATGGCCATATTCTCAAATCCCTAAATCATTTGAAGATCAGGGCATAGTTATCTGTTAGGTATATCTGAATAAGGCAAATCTGGATATATGGTTTTAAATTAGTTACAGCTAACCAGTGTTGGAAAAAGCAAGAAGATTAGACCTTGTTATGCCCAGATCATGGAGTCTCCCCAAAACCAACAAGGAAACCAATCCCATATGTAAAAGCAAAGGACTTTTATTCAAGTTTGAACTTGGACTCTCTGTGTCCAACTCATCGGCACAATCAGAGAGCCTTGAGCTCAGTTGTAGTGGAGTTTTTATCATAGGGTGAGGGCCTTTATGGTTCAGGACCCCTGATTGGCTGATCTTTGTCTAGGGTCCTAGTGAAAGGGAATGGGTGTGTTGGGCAAAGGGATATCAGATGATCCTATCTACAATGATTGGAATATTAGGTATTTCCTTTGGAATGTTAAGTACTTTCTTCTTAAATGGTCCATTCCTGGGTGTGCCTGGGTGGTCTCAGTTGATCCTGCTATGACCAGACCCTACTTTCCCCCTTCATAAGTACCAAGGACAGGACCCAATCATGGGTCCTGCTTTCCCAGGGGTTTAAGAGAATGGTATTAGGACTTAAGAACCATTAGCTAACAGATTTTTCTAGGGCAGTGACCATCCTCTACTACCAGGCCCTGTAGCTCTGATCTTTGAGCACAACCAAATTATAACCCTGAATGTCCTCTTTCGTTCTGTGGTTCTGCATAAAGAACCAAAGTGTCTTATCTTATTGTAGAACTACTATAGTTAATATGTTCATTAATTGACAACTCTGAACACCTATCAGAAGCATCTGATTCACTGACTGAGCTGAAGAGACAGGGAGCATTCACATAGGCTGGACTGGTCCATATCATCTTTCATCAAGTCCAGGACTTGCAGTCATTTTGAGTGGGTTGTAGTCAGCAGCTGATGCTTGGGTGTGTCTGCCAGCCAAGTGGAAACCTGTTGAGACAAGTTGAACTAGAATAGATGTTAAAATTTATGAACATAAAGGAAAATATTACATTTGAAACTTTCAGGTTCATAGTCTTAGTAAGTGGGAAGGGGAAGGGTCCCAAGACCAAGGGGATGGAAAATATCATCCTTAGAAATAGTGATGGGGAAAACTTAGGCTGTACTTACCTTGAATCCCTTTGACACGTGAGAAGAGAACCCAGGTTTTTTCTGAAGCCTGTATCAATTTTTATTTTACAAATGGACATAAATTCTTTTTACGTATTAGCATCATCAGTCTACACTGAAATCCATATTTAAGAAAAGTTAGGTAATGGGTATTTGTAAAATAGCAGATATAGACTCATACACTCGAGTCCTAGAAAAACTACAGATTTGGGTCAGAACCGTGTACATTTTTTTCTCCTGTCCTGAGAACCAGGTATAGATTGGACAGAGATATCCTTGGCCTGATGAGAAACACTTTCAAGTTTATGTTTAGATGTTAACCAAAATAAATCCAAAATCTTGAACTTGTGACTGAGCAATAAGTAGTCACTGCTCTACCAGCTTATTAGAACTCTTTTAAATATTTAACTATGAACTTTTATACTATAGAAGGGGGGAAATCTGAAACATTTTATAACTTATATCATCTACTTATATTTTTATAACTTCTGCTTACATCTCAAATCATTTTCTTAGACCCTTAAAGCTTATAAGTTTTATAATCTCTTTTTTTAAGACCCACGCAAAGGCTTGATTTTTATATATAAAATGAACTAACAAGTAGACTATATCCTTCAGGGAGACCCTGGTTGCTTGTTGCTAAACTGACAAGGTATTAACTAGCCCAACCATCAATAAAATCAGAGATTCAGGAAAGATAAATTATACCTAAGTGTAGATCAAACAGCTTCTGAATCTATTCAGCTTCTGAATCCATGCCTAGTTAGCCATTCCCAGGTCTCCATAGCAATGGAAGCAGAAGTATCAGAGCAGCATTCTTCACCCATAAGGTGAGAGCCTTTTCTCTGGAGGAACATGGGTAAGAATGACCTTATTTTGTCTAGACTGTGGACTGCTTGTCCAGAGTCTGGGCCAGGTCCTGGTAATAGGTGTTGTATTGGTCATCTTGCCCAGTGGTCAGCATTTTGAAATTCAGGTGGAGGCATCACAGTGCCCCGCAATCTTATTTGAAGACCTTTGATCATTGTCAGTATCTGGGAGTCTCTTTCTGATATGAAAAGCTTTTTAATCAACATTTTAAATGCCATATTCTGCACACCTCTGAAGTAGTTGAGGGTTGCCCAGGTATTATATCTGAATAGATAACTTTGTTTCTAGTTACTTCTTTCAAGCTTAATTTTTGAAAACATATACAGGGAACTAAGTAAGATTTATCCCTGTATTTAATTATATCGATAGTACTTAACATGGCTAAAATTAATGAAGTTGATCATTTATAAGCATGGCTATTAACTTCTATTTCTTAACATCCTACAGTAGGTTAGCAGCTTTCATAAGACTAAGACTTCACAAATCTGACATGTTTATTTTAAAAATAATGATTTTAAATTGACGTTCTTTTTAGTGAAACATAAAACTTTTTAATGACTCAATTTATTAAGATATTTGACTTAAGCTTAGTAAATTTAGCAAAGACAAGGAATCTAGCCATACATTTTTAAGCCTGAATAGACCTAGTGTAAGGAAAGACAGTTTCTAAGCCAAAGGTTCTCAACTTTCACAATATTTTGACTTTTTAACATAGTTCCCCATGTTGTGATGACCCCCATCACAAAATTTTTTTCCTATTACTATTTCATAACTGCAGCTTGTCATTGTAAAGAATTTAGATGCAAACATCTGAGAGGCAGGTGGTCCTAGGAAACCCTGTAAAACCTTTTTGTTTTGTTTTGTTATATTCTATTTTGTTTTGCTTTTTAACCCCAAAGGTTTAGACTCAATGAGCTGAGAAACTGCTCCAAGCCCTTTGTCAGACTGCTTAGGTCATTGTCTTGCTGCATCACAAGAAATGAACATCTCAGTTGCTGGCTATCATCTGGTGATTGTGACTGTGACTCTAATTTTTAGCCTTTAAGTCCAAGTATTAACAATATAAAACATTTTATAAGCACAAATGTCCCATAGTCTTACAAATTTAAGTATTTTAAAAACTGTTCTTAAAAAATTTTAAATCTTTCAAATGTCTTCCTGTAATATCAAAAATAAAGTTCCTCCTTTTTTTGAGAGGCCTAGATCACCTCTTTGGCCCCACCCTCGACAGCTATACATAACCTGCATTTTAGATCTCAGCCTGTCCCATTTCACAGTAGCTGCTGCTCCTGGTGATGATCACATGGCTCTGGCAATTCTAAAACTGCTACTGTTTATCCTTGTAACTGACTCTCTTTGGGACTCCAGTCCTGCCATACATTTAAAGTCCACCTCTTCTTCCCAATGCTGGGATTCAAGGCATTTACCACCACCACAGTCCGACTGGGAACTTTCACTTCTACAATGATTTAAACACGTTCTTCTAATGTCCATGGCACACATGTCAGGTTTTTCTCAGTAATGAGAGGAAACACAGGTTGCTTGAATCTGCCCTCAGTACAGACCTGTTGGCCATCGATTGTCTGAAGCCCCTTTTCACCGTTTATGGCTTGAGTTCTAAAAACAATCTGTGAGTTCTTTTTTTTTTCTCCATAAGATTTCTCACTTACATGCTTATTGTAATCTGTTTTTATTTTTGTTGTTGTTTCTTTCTTTATTGACCCCATTTAAACATTCCTGACTTATAAGCAGATGTCATTTATCCATTTGGAAACTCCCCCAGTAATTATTTCTCCATATATTACTTTTTTCTATTTTTGTTTGTGAGTCTAGCCTTTAATTGCTGAGCCATTTCTCTAGCCCTATGTATATTATGTTCTTATTCCTTCTATTTCTATGTCTTTCCTCCCTCCTTCCTACAGTCTATTGTCTTATAGAGTATTAGGTTTCTTTTCTTTTGAAAAATATTCTCATTTATATTTTATGTATATGAGTAATTTTAACCTCTATGTATGTAAATGTACCACATGTGTGCTTGGTATTCACAGGTGTCAGATCTCTTGAAACTTTAGTTATAGATAAGCCACTATAGTTATAGTAAGTTATATATAGTAAGTTATAGTAAACCACTATA